GCATGCAACCGTCACATCTCTTTCCGAACCAAACTCTGGTAGAAAATAAACTTTTTCAACATTAGTTGACCTCAAAGTACATTCCGATACTTTTTGATCCGACTTGCCTACAGCGATAAGACTAAAGTTTGTGGATCGAGGCTACAAGACTGCGGGTCGTGGCTAAGGCATTGTGAGTTTTAGCTTAGGGAACGTGAGTCAAGGCTAAAGGATTGCGGATCGAGGCCAAAGGACTGCAGATTTTGGATAAAGCTTAATGGGAAAAGGTGTAGTAGCTACGATGAACAGTTGAGAGTTGCGTCTCAGTTAGATACCCCTTCGGGGACAGTTAAATGTCCAAATGAACGAAACAGTCTCATCTTTGATTGGCACCGTTCACTTCGAAGAAAATAGAGTATTCCAAAATAAACCGATTGGAACATCAGAACACAAGTCCGAAAGCGAACAACTGTTTTCGACTAATTCATAATCGTGCCTGTACAGCTCATACAAAAGGTTTGTTGTTAGACTATATCCGGCAATTATGCAACGCCTATCCGGATTGTGCCGATCGATGCAGAGGTCGATAGCCCGAAAACACAAAACGTTCTATTTAATATAAATCTGATAGTAACAACCAGTTGAGATGGTGAAATCCAAACCTAGATTATGGGAACCGGAACCGTGCAGATAGATGATAGATGATAGTATTCGAACTCAGGAACTATTTTTTGTTTTATGAACTAAATAAAATTTCGAAGAGAAATTCATCGAGTATAGAGCAAACGAAACGTGAACTGAAAAGCTAGGAAGTACTGTACAACTATTTCGACCTGAGTGGATCTCATCAGTAGTAAGCGAATCCATTGATCCACTGAAAAATCGAACCCAGGACCTTAACGCAGACAGAACGTAAGCATGCTACCCACTCGGCCACCGGCCACAGACCGTTTTTTTTTCATTTTCCATTTACACGAGATATATATAGCTAGCACAATCCACCTTTGTCAGCTTGTTACGGACAACACCTCTCGCTTAGCTGAACGCTAATCTCCGGGGTTCACGGGTGATTTGCTCTGGACACGAGGAATTTCCCTTTGAAATTGAATCAAATCCTCCATGGCTCTCGTGTAACTAAAGAAGTATTGTGGGAAGCAGGTGAAGAATACGAAGACGGCTCCATTCGAATTGGAAAATGTAAAAATGAGTATTCGAGCTAGCAGAGCGGTGTGAGAACCAGGATTGGTGATAAATCACAGCAGAGCACTACATATATATATATATCTTAGTAGAGCAGTCTGCAGAAAACCCACATGGACAGGTCAGTACACTCATTTCACCAGTTTTGTACCTCTGGGGC